ATCATTCCAAAGAAGTCTGTTTGTCTCTAATGAGAGAAAGGGGGTGGGTCTGGGTGAGGGGGTTTGGTGGGAGGAGGAGTAGAGGGAGGGGAAACTAATCAGGATGTATTATGTGAGATATAAATCTCTTGAATAAAAGGAAAGAAATAGTTACAAAGAATAGTATGCTTAGTTGGGCATAATGGCTCATGTCTATGATTACAGCACTTGGGAGGTAGAAGCAAGAGCATTATGAGTTGAGTTTAGCTTGAACTATACAATAAGGATGTCTCAAACAAAGGACCGTACAGCCCAAACCAAATGACTAAGGACCTTTTACCTTACTTATTAAAGGCATCGCTTATTCCCTTAAAGGGAGATATAACAAATTGCTTAATTGGCTTGGAAAATTTGTACAGTTTCATGTTAAACACACTGATCTACAACTTAATACCTTGAGGATCATGTAAGAGCACCGGAGTCCTTGTTCCATCTAATATTAACTAGCAATTGGTACCTCATGGGAGTTTTAGGGGAGCCTTTCAGTTAAATACTTCTGCTTCATTAGTATAATCTCAACTGAATTCAATTTTCCTTTTAAAGAACATTTTATCAGTAGGATTTTTTTTTTTAGAATTTCTTGTTCTCACTGTTTAGTTTGTCTCTAAGTTATAACACATGGGTTGTGCTGTTGTCAAACCCACTACATATAAAGTTAGAAATGTGAATGTAGTTGAGAGTCATAAAGCTGAGTTTTTAAGAGGATGGGGTTTTAAAAGATCTTGTTATCAAGTAAGTGTCTTTGCTGAAGTTTTTCCTTTGTCATGTATTTGTGTATCCTAGAAAATAGGGTAAATGTAGAGTGATGAATTTTTGCACAAAGTCTCCCAATTGCTTCATCCACTAAGGATTATTGAAATCCATGCTATGTGGGTAAAAGGGATTGGGGAGCTTAAAAAAAGTCACATGTGAAAGGCTACAGTGTATTTGGAGTTAAAGGAAATGAGTATCTGGCAGTTAAAATAAAAGTGTTTGTTTTCAGCATTAAATTCCAGAGTCCCAAATTAGATGCCATTACTGCTCTTTGGAACTTTAGAACATTTTATATCTCCCTTAAGTCTTATATTAATTTGTGTTTATAATACCCCACTAGATTGCAAACCCCTTAGGAAAAATGGCAGAGTAAGTTTAGTGTTCTTCACATGCCTGGTAATTGCTTGTAGTCTTTTGTAGTAACACTCAGTGCTGGAGTGAGTATTTTTACCTTAATTTTAAAGGCTTATGCCTTAGCATAGTTGACAAAGGTAAACGCCTGTAGTGAATACATTCTTTATCTCTCATCACTCCTGAGGTCTACAGTTGGGCTTCAATTCATTCTTTTTACCTCTAGGTTTTCAAATAACATTTATAACCCCATTTCTAGGTTGTTATCTAGTTTAGATGCTATTTCCTTTCTTCTTATTCTTACAAAGTTGAATTTTCTTATTCTGTATTGACCTTGTACTGTAGAAGGTGCCTGGGTATAGCATTCAAAGTCCAAAGTAATTTTCCTTTATTAATTAAGTCCTCACTCCACTATTCTGTCACATCTCTTACAACCTTTGAAAAGTCCTATGTGACTATTTCTATTTAAACAATAAATATGACATTTTAATTGGATTTCTTTTTCATAGTTTGAAATTTTCAAATAGTTTCATCATGCGTCCTTGAAGGCAGCAAAGATGTTTTACTTTTTAAACATTTTTCTTTAGTTTTGAGGATTTCATACATGTGTTCAATGAAATATGAGCATAGTTGTTCCCTATTTCCCCTCCAGTTCCTCCTATACTCTCTCAACCTACCCTGCTTCCAACGTCATCATTTTAAATTTTTTCTTTAGTCCATTAAGTCCCATTAGTGCTGCCCTTATGTATATGAGTGAGGGGCCATCCACTGAAGCACTGGAACCTACCAGTGGCCACACCCTCAAATGATTTCCTCTCCTTTCCTCAGCAAGTCGGTAAGTCTGTATAGCTCCTTTGTAAGGCTTGAGGCCCGAAGAACATGTACCTCCTCTGTGCTTCTGCTGTCTTGATCTTATTCTCTGGAAGCTTTTAAAAGCTTACCTAGATAATGTTTGGTGTTCTGAAGTTTTATTATTCACAAGCATCTATTATACTCAACAGAATAGCTTGAATAGCTTGGTTAGTATCTCTTAGTTGTAAGATAAAATTCTTTCACTCTTGGTGTCTTCTTAACCAAAAGTTAGGCTTTGACATAGATGAATTCCACCTCTGCAGTGTCTGCCTTGTACCTTCCCTTGAAGTTGGCCTTGCCTTCTCTCCATTTAGCCATCACATTTCCCTCATTGCTCTTTTCCCTAGAACCCATACAGAATTCACTCACATTGCCCATGTCTTTTCTTATTTGTAAAAACCTTAAAAAAGCCCATCTATCCCACTAATTAGAATCGTTCCATTGATCAGTTATTCATAGATATCATACTACTGCTAATTACACGGTAACATATTGCTAGGGTGAAGGATAAGAACTTCAGAAAAGGTTCAGAGTTATCTTAGGAAGGAAATAGATTTAGAAACTGAATGCAGACATTGAGTTTACCTGTACCAGAGAAGGCCTACTGTGTCACTGGGTGTAGCTTGAGCATAGGAGGCCTCAAAGTCCACCCCCACAGTTTCCCATTTCCTCCAACAAGGCAATACCTATTCCATCAAAGCCACACCTCCTAATAATACCACTCCCTATGGGGTGGGGCATTTTCTTTCAAGCCACCACATTACCTGTGTATGCTTACATGTTAGTGAAAGAAAGGTGGTTCAAACAATGATGACCACAAACTTCAAACAGGGAAGATATGGGAGCTTGAGAGCAGCCCATCTCAGGAATGAAGAGTACCCAAGGAAGGGCTTCTATGAGACTGAAGGAAGGGGTGAGGTTATGGAACAGGTAGCAGGGGTCTAGATGGTCACAGGTTCACACGCCATGTGAGGTTCTTAGGAGCACAGGTGGCTTTGAATAACCATGCAGTCATTGTTTAAGTTTTAATTTATTAATCATCTCATCATTATAGAGATACAAAGGTAAAGAATTACTGCTTTTTAGAGGCACAGTTTTTCTTTTTCTCCCTTATTTTGGGATAGAATCTTATTTTTTTTTTTATGCCAAGATGTCTGGGAACTCATTCTGTAGCTTAAGCTGTCCTTAAACCTAGGATCCTACTACTTCTGCTTTCTGAGTGTAGGGGAATTAGGTGTGCATTACCGCATCAGCCACCTTTCTGTCTTTTTTTTTTTTTTTTTTTTTTTTGAGACAAGGTTTCTCTGTGACTTGAGGCTGTCCTGGAACTAGCTCTTGTAGACCAGGCTGGTCTCAAACTCACAGAGATCCACCTGCCTCTGCCTCCCAAGTGCTGGGATTAAAGGCGTGCACCTCCAACACCCGGTCTTTCTTTTGCTTTTGAGACAGGGTTTCTCTGTGTAGCTCTGGCTGTCATGGAACTCACTTTGTAGACCAGGGTGACCTAGAACTCACAGAGATCTGCTTGCCTCTGTCTCCTGAGTACTGAGATTAAAGACCTGCGTTGCCACCCTGGGCTTCCTTCTGTTGTTATTGTGGTATCCGAAACTGGAAGGCAGAGAACTCTGGGCCTGTCTAGCATTCACAAAGGTCTTATATCAGCAAAAGTGGCTCTGAGTCATTAAATCTTGTGGTTTTGTAAATGGCATCCAGTGAACTACAAGGATGATCAGTTTCACTGTAGATCAAGATAGGCTTTGACTAGGGTGATGCTAGATACACAGACAAGGTATAGGAAATCCATGTTGTAGGGACCAAGTAGAATTTAGCCATTATGAGAGAGGTGGTTAGGCTTGGTAGTTCATATAATACAAATTACAGGAGCCACACACAAACTGGTTACAATGATCTTATTGCTAGAGTCACCAAACTCATGTTTGTTAATCTACCCTATATAGCGTGATCAAAAAATGAGTTTTTTGAAAGTAATGGGTTTTATAATGTCAGCGAGCAGCACTTTTAGGAGCTTGAGAATAACTTTCTTCTTAGTCCCTTCCTGAAAGCTCCATTTCACCATAATGTTCATATATATAACAGAGATGTGGAGAACTGTTTTTTACTGCTATGTAGTTTGTGTTTAGGGTAATTGGATAATAATGGTGGAAACACCTAAAGGTCTTGGAGTTGGTGTAATAACCAGGAAGTGGTCATCCTTTGAAAGCTTCTTGTGTGCTATGTTCTCCATGCATTGCCCTGCAGGGCTTAGCACATGTGTGTTAGGAAGAGCCTGTCCTTTCCATGACTTCCAGGGGCAGTAGGCATTCTGAGGGACAGCACTGGGGAAGTTTTCTTCTGCCTTCCTTCCATGTATTGAATCTCCTTCAGTCTGAAGACTGCCAGCTTGATTTGTGTCTGGAATTGTTTAAATGATCAACTAGCTGTAGACTTAAATGAATGATCATATTTGGTCAAAACTTAAACAATGGGTTTTTGTTTGTTGTTTTTAAATGGGAAGCTGTGTATTATTATGGTCGAGGTGTCCCAATGTCCTACTTTTCTGGGACAGTTCTGGTTTGTATCTCTGGTCCCAACATTCTGTTCAGTTCAGCAACCCTCTTGACTCTGAGAAATGCTCTCATTTGGATGACAGGCCACATTTTGAGATTTATGGGTTTCACTTCAATTCAGTTGGGGAAGATGTGCCTTATCTGTTGAAAGTTGAAGTTTAGAGGTACTTGAACACTCATCCCTTTCCCTAGCCTCTCAACAAATGCATTATAAAAAGTACTAAAACTTGTCATGATGTTGAATTTGAATGTAGCAAGTATGTATATGAGGTGTGTGTGTGTGTGTGTGTGTGTGTGTGTATCCTTTGCAATAAATGTATTCTTAATATTTTCTACTTTGATAAAGAGAGAAACAAGGTAGCGTTGGGGCTTGGGTTTGTAACATATTGGGCATGAAATGTTTATGTAATAATGATGTATCTTCCTTTCTTCAATCAGCACTAATATTCTGAAGGAGCCAGTGTGCCTAGGAGGGTGTGAGCACATATTCTGTAGGTGAGTAGTTAGAGCTTGATGTGCACTCTGGTGTAATCGTGATGTCTGTCCAGTGTGTGTGCACTCTGGTGTAATCGTGATGTCTGTCCAGTGTGTGTGCACTCTGGTGTAATCGTGATGTCTGTCCAGTGTGTGTGCACTCTGGTGTAATCGTGATGTCTGTCCAGTGTGTGTGCACTCTGGTGTAATCGTGATGTCTGTCCAGTGTGTGTGCACTCTGGTGTAATCGTGATGTCTGTCCAGTGTGTGTGCACTCTGGTGTAATCGTGATGTCTGTCCAGTGTGTGTGCACTCTGGTGTAATCGTGATGTCTGTCCAGTGTGTGTGCACTCTGGTGTAATCGTGATGTCTGTCCAGTGTGTGTGCACTCTGGTGTAATCGTGATGTCTGTCCAGTGTGTGTGCACTCTGGTGTAATCGTGATGTCTGTCCAGTGTGTGTGCACTCTGGTGTAATCGTGATGTCTGTCCAGTGTGTGTGCACTCTGGTGTAATCGTGATGTCTATCCAGTGTGTGTGCACTCTGGTGTAATCGTGATGTCTGTCCAGTGTGTGTGCACTCTGGTGTAATCGTGATGTCTGTCCAGTGTGTGTGCACTCTGGTGTAATAATAATGTCTGTCCTGAAGTGTGTGCACTCTGGTGTAATTGTGATGTCTGTCCAGTGTGTGTGCACTCTGGTGTAATCGTGATGTCTGTCCAGTGTGTGTGCACTCTGGTGTAATCGTGATGTCTGTCCAGTGTGTGTGCACTCTGGTGTAATCGTGATGTCTGTCCAGTGTGTGTGCACTCTGGTGTAATAATAATGTCTGTCCTGAAGTGTGTGCACTCTGGTGTAATCGTGATGTCTGTTCGGTGTGTGTGCACTCTGGTGTAATCGTGATGTCTGTCCAGTGTGTGTGCACTCTGGTGTAATCGTGATGTCTGTCCAGTGTGTGTGCACTCTGGTGTAATCGTGATGTCTGTCCAGTGTGTGTGCACTCTGGTGTAATCGTGATGTCTGTCCAGTGTGTGTGCACTCTGGTGTAATCGTGATGTCTGTCCAGTGTGTGTGCACTCTGGTGTAATCGTGATGTCTGTCCAGTGTGTGTGCACTCTGGTGTAATCGTGATGTCTGTCCAGTGTGTGTGCACTCTGGTGTAATCGTGATGTCTGTCCAGTGTGTGTGCACTCTGGTGTAATCGTGATGTCTGTCCAGTGTGTGTGCACTCTGGTGTAATCGTGATGTCTGTCCAGTGTGTGTGCACTCTGGTGTAATCGTGATGTCTGTCCAGTGTGTGTGCACTCTGGTGTAATCGTGATGTCTGTCCAGTGTGTGTGCACTCTGGTGTAATCGTGATGTCTGTCCAGTGTGTGTGCACTCTGGTGTAATCGTGATGTCTGTCCAGTGTGTGTGCACTCTGGTGTAATCGTGATGTCTGTCCAGTGTGTGTGCACTCTGGTGTAATCGTGATGTCTGTCCAGTGTGTGTGCACTCTGGTGTAATCGTGATGTCTGTCCAGTGTGTGTGCACTCTGGTGTAATCGTGATGTCTGTCCAGTGTGTGTGCACTCTGGTGTAATAATAATGTCTGTCCTGAAGTGTGTGCACTCTGGTGTAATTGTGATGTCTGTCCAGTGTGTGTGCACTCTGGTGTAATAATAATGTCTGTCCTGAAGTGTGTGCACTCTGGTGTAACAGTGATGTCTGTCCTGGTGTGTGTGCACTCTGGTGTATAGTGATGTCTGGGTATTATCTTCCCCGAGTTGTTCTTTAGAACTGTTTTCATTTACAAATAAATAAAGCCCAGAACTGGAGAGATGGCTCAGCCATTAAAGACTAGGCTTACAACCAAAATAAAAGAAATAAAGCCCAGAGGGGAAGTTCCAAAGGAAGTAACTCTGCTAAGGTTTTGGAAAGCAGCGATGCCTTTGACATAATTCTCATATGTTCTCTTAAATATCATAGTTTTGAATGACTGAGATACTAATCTTTCAAAATTTATTGAAGTTTAATTCTCAAATTTCCAAGGTAGGGTGACTTAGGCATTTATTGTTGTGGGTCAGGGGCAGAAGGTCAAGTTCTGATACATGGTGGTAGACATTGTTCCCTCTGAAGGCTGCCAGGGACACTCTGCTTGCCTAGTTTCTTGTAGGCTGATAGTGAGGTTTTTCCATTGCTGTGACAGGTTATCTGATTTAAGCAGTTGATGGGTGGATATTAGTCAACCTTTTTGTCACTGTGACAGAATACCAGACATAAGTTATCTGAGGAAAGACTGGCTTGAGGTTTCAGGGATAGTGCTTGACTTTGGTGAGTTTGCTGCTTGGACACCGATTTTGCATTTTGGGGTTAGTGTAACAAGCCAAGTGCAGGGCATGTTCATCCTTCAAAGGTCTTGTGAGAGAACCTGTGAAAGGGCACTGAGGTGGTAGGAGCATATGGAGGTCATGGCGGTCAGGAAAGAGGAAGGACTGGGGGTTTGGCACTAGGTAGAACCTTCAAAGGCATAACTGTGTGACTTCTAACCAGGCCCCATTTCCTAAAGGTCCATCTTCTTCCCAAATAATACTTCATGATTGAGGACCAAGTATTCAAAGTGAGTCTGTCAGTGATACTGGTAATGTTATGTTTGTATCATAGCCTCTAAAACACACATTTGAGATTCATATATAACCGGAGAAGAATTCATTTTGGTTCATAGATTTAGAGGTTCTTAATTCATAGTCCTTAATATTGAGACTGTATTTGTTCACATCTATACAGCCTTACCCTTTAGGAGCCATAGATTTTGTTTGATGGGAAAAATTAGAGATTGTCATGCTAAGTAAGGTCCCGTCACAGTAAATTGATCAGAGACTTTACATATATGTGCATATTATATTCTCAAAGCACACTGCTTTACCATTCTATGTAAAACAACTGCTGTTTTTCTTCTGCTCATAGTCTCTAGTGTTTGGAGTTCAGATTCTACTGAATTTTCTTTTAATGTTTTCAAGTGTGTGTATAAGTGACTGTGTTGGATCAGGATGCCCTGTGTGTTACACACCAGCTTGGATCCTGGACCTCAAGATAAATAGACAATTGGACAGCATGATTCAGCTTTATAGGAAGCTTCAAAATTTGCTACATGACAATAAACTTTCAGGTGAGTAACATACCGTTATTGTTTTGTTAAAGAGTGGACACATTAATAATGATAATGCTTACATGAAGAAAGAATGGATAAAGAATTCTGAATAATGTTGCTCAGATTTTAAGATTAGTAGGTTTTTTAAAAGTTATCTTGAGAAATGAGATAATTTAAGTCTCAACTTTATAGATTAGGTACCAAGGTCCAGAGAAGTGAAATGTTCTTGCCTCTAGTCACATGTATAGTTAATATGAGAAGCAAGAGAAATAGTGCTCATTTCTTCATGTCAGTCCAGAGAGTCTCGCTTTGCACTGATGGCTTTCTACAGCTGGGATATTTTCTGTAGACTGTGGATGCTATAGTGATTTTATTTATAATAGTGCTTAATTCACTCAAGTCCCTTGTTACAAGATAGAATACAGTATTCTGCAAGGATCACTTTTCTAGACTGAATTAATTGGGTATACATTTTGAAAGAGCAAAAATCTAACACTCATTTTCTTTTCTATTTAAATGGGGGTTAATGTTTTTCAAATTGTTCTTAGACTCTGTGTATTAACTATATATCTTCCCATTGTGCTTTCTGCTGAGAACTAATTGGCTGTGAAAAGAAACTAAAGTGCTTCGAATTTTCATAATTGGATGTCGGATTTGTGTTTTCATTGACCAAATCATATCATTTTAGCATGAATTTATAGGAGAACCTGTCTGGCAGAATGCCATGGAAGATTGATAGTGGTAATATGAAATTGTTGGCTCTTTTTCTGTTTTTAAGTCTTTTGTTCTTTGGATTCTGATGTGATTCTACTAGTAAAGTTGACTGAACAAAATTAAGTAAGTCAAGTATTATTGACAAGTCTGTATTTTTAAGAATGCAAGTCATAGTTAAGCCATGTTTACATTTAGTTCTTTGGCCATTGTATTACTCTCCTGTTTTTCCTTTTTTCTTTTTGTTTTTTTTTGAGACAGGGTTTCTCTGTCTAGCCCTGGCCGTTCTGGAACTCGCTCTGTAGACCAGACTGGCCTTGAACTCACAGAGATCCAACTGCCTCTGCCTCCGAGTACTGGGATTAAAGGTGTGTGCCACCACCGCCCAGCTTAGACTCCTATTTTTTAATGACAAAATATGCTATTGTAGTACTGTGACTTATGGTATCCAGGTCTGTACATATATTTTATAAAGTGCTTGCTTTAAAAAGTATTGTAGTTGTAAGTCTCTCTTTTTTTTTTTTTTTTGGTTTTTACGAGACAGGATTTCTCTGTATTGTTGTGGAGGCTATTGGTCCAGCCCGGCCTCGAACTCACAGAGATCCGCCTGCCTTTGCCTCCCGAGTGCTGGCATTAAAGGTGTGTGCCACCACCGCCCCGGCTGTAGTTGTAAGTCTCTTAATGTATTGAGTTCAAGGCTGACTATTCAGTATTGGATAACCACTTGGGGGACACTTCTCTAGCTCCCAATGTTCATTAATTTTCTGTAGTTCTTTGTGTAGGTTTGAGGCCTCATGAGATTTTCCCTTTTACGCTATCATGTCTGTTGGAGTCGTTGGTTCTGGTCTTGTTTGGGCAGCATATATTTGTGTATATAGTTTATTATATGAATAACAACTGTGTGTGTATGTGCACAACAACAAAGAAAAATTGGCCATGAATTTGAGAGAAAGCAGGGTGGGAGAATAATTAGGAGGGGATGGAGGGAGAAAAGGGAAATGATGTAATTATGATAAAAAAGAATAAAAGAAAAATCAAGATTATAAAAAAGAATGTATTGAAGGGGCCTAGAGAGGTGGTTCACCAGTTAAGAGTATGTATTACTCTTGCTGAGGACATGAGTTCAGTTCTACTACTCAGGTCAGTTAGTTGGCACTTTCTATATCTCCGTTTCCAGAGGATCTGATTTCTGACTTCTGTGGGCACCTGTACTCATGTGTGTGCATATATATATCAAATTAAATCCTGAAAAAAAAGAAAAAGACTGCATTGGGAAAAGAGTTGTCATTAGTTCATCTGAATACTTTTCCTCCTTAAGAACAGTGATGAAGTGTGTATTTGGAAGTTGAAAAGATTGTGTATCTGATCTTATCAACCTCTGTCTATTCCTCATATGTACTTTAAATTGATGTAGTGATTCCCAATATTGGCCCATGGGTCTTTGACAATGTCAGAGTTGGGAATGGAGAAGAATCAATGAGTCACTTGAATTACTTGGACAGTAGGAACAATATGTCTTTGAAAGTTGCTTTCATTAGATTTTTATGGCTGTTTCTGATTGTTAAGATTATTGGCCAAGCACTGAAATGTGGGATTCTACTTTGAGATTGTCATATTTTAACTTGATTCTTCTCTAATACTGTGCAATAATGTGCTAAGTTAAGGCAGATGCTATAACAACAAGCGACAAACCAGATGGCTTAAATAAAAGAAAGTGTCTCCGTTCTGGAGGCTTGAAGTTTAGTTTCAGAAGTGTCCTCTCTGAGACCCTTGACTTGTAATCATGGTTACCTCATGTCCTCATACTGCTTTAGGGCATTCATGGCAGTGCAGCTTCATCTTGTATGAAGTCTGTCTAATATAAACTTTCATTAAGATTACATTTGGGTACCAGGTATTAGTTATGTTTTCTGCATGTGGATTTAGAGAGCAGAGGAAATATCACAGTTTAATGCATAAATACATAATTTGACAGTTTAAATGGTGCTAAAATGGGAGGAGGGTGGTCTTGCCTTTGTAAGCTAAATGCCATCTGCAGTGGCTCACTAGGGTATTAGGCACCTTGGGGTACAAAAAAGGAATGACATTCCTAGATTTTTACTGTAGTGAAAGGTGTTTGAACCGTAGAATAGTTTTTGTATTTTGTGGACAGTGGAAAAAGCGAGTTTCAAACAAGGTTTAGGATAGTATCTGGGCTCTTTTAGAATATGCTATTGTTTTCCTATTTTGAACATTTGTTTGTTTGGTAGGTATTTGCTAAATTTGTTGAATTAAGTTGGATAGAAATCAGCAGTGTGGGACTGGAGTTTACATCCCGGCTCACACTGCAAGTTGACCATGCTGTAAGCACCTGTGACTTCAGCTCTGAGAGATCTAACAGCCTTCTCTGGCCTTCCTGCTGTACAGGTGTGAGCACTTGTACACACAGGCCCAGGAATGTCTGCACTCTCTCTCTCTCTCTCTCTCTCTCTCTCTCTCTCTCTCTCTCTCTCTCTCTCTCTCTCTCTCTCTCTCTGTCTCTCTCTCTCTCTTCTCTCCTCTCTCTCCTCTCCTCTCTCTCTGTCTCTCTGTCTCCCCCCTCCACACACACATGTAAGTAATCTAAAAGAAGAAAACAAAACCAGCAGTGTGTCTTTGCTACCTTGATAGGAAATCACAGAAATGTTAGAAAAATTTACTGAGTATACTTCTTTTTATAGTACATATTTTGTTTCTATTTTAAGTTTTATCATTATCAACTTTTCCCTAAGTCTTCTCAAAACAAGCCTGCTCTGGCGAGCGTTTCAGTTTTAAGTCCCCTCTCCAGTAGCTCCTTTGTTTTTTTTATAGTCCATTTAGTATAGGTAGTGAGGACCTGTGCTAGTGTATCTAGTAAGTATTTTTAAAACTAAATTTAAATGATAGAAGGTGAAATTTTTTTTTTCCAAACAGGGTTTCTCTATATTGTTTTGGAGGCTGTCCTGGAACTCTGCTCTGTAGACCAGGCTGGCCTCTAACTCACAGATCCTCCTGCCTCTACCTCCCGAGTACTGGGATTAAAGGCGTGAGCCACCAATGTCCTGCTCTCTCTCTCTCTCTCTCTCTCTCTCTCTCTCTCTCTCTCTCTCTCTCTCTCTCTCTCTCTCTCTCTCTCTCTCTCTCTTTTTGGAGTGAAATGTTTTATAGGTAGAAGGAACCAGGAATTTGGAACAAGTAAGAATGCTCTTGTATGAAAATGATCTCACCTTAAGACAACGACATCAGACTGAGTGATTCCTGAAGCCTTAGCTAACTCCAAAATTCTGTTACTGTTAAATGATCACATGTTGAAATGCTGAACTAAGTAGAATGGTTAAACAGCTCTCATGTTTGCTCGATCTTTAAACAAAAAACCTGTAGTTCATAATTTGTCTTTCAAATGAACCTTGTTACTTACATTTACTACAAACTATGCAATTATTATAATTAAGGTGAGAACTTGTCAGATCATGGACATAGTATATGATACACTAGAGATGAAGAACCCTGATTTATAGGAAGCGTGCAAAGATGAGCTTCTAAACATTTCAACAAATTTTTTTCAGTTCAGTGTACTTTAAAGAGAAGAGGTTGTCATATTTTCCTGATGGCCATTTATGGATAATTTTAGCTTATTCTTTATAACAATATATTTTCTACTAATAGAGTTAAATTTAAAGTTTCTATTTTCCCTTTGAATCCATCGTATTAAATCAGCCCTTGCAGGTGCTGGTAAAGTTCTGTGGAATGTGTTGGTGTTGGTGACATTAAAATAAAGAACTTTGATTGTGCTTTCATAGGATCACAATTTGCATTTCCCTTCTCTAGTTGAGGGAAAGATGCTGCTAGTCCTTTTAAAGTGATTACACAGTGTTTCATATATGCTGTGACTTTATAACAGACGGAGAGGAGTGTTTGGATAGCCATGTTGCTGTTGTTATTTTAAATAGGCCTAAATACATCTTAATTTACAGAATAATTATTCTTCAGTGAAGGTGTTAATGTTACACAGATGGTAAACAGAGTGTTTGCTTTCATTTTTTCTTAAATAAGGAACTAGCTAGTCAGAGATTTCTCAACTTCTGTTGTATAACTTATAATAGAGAATGATTTGGAAAGCTCACAATGTACAGCATTACAATCCTTTGATATAGATTAATGATAGTGAAATCACATTTTCTAATTGCTTCTCTTTTCTATGCTTATTATTAAATTTTAAGTAAAAGAAAGCACGGCTAAGCAACATCTTAGTAAGACATATGTCTGCGTTTCTTGATAATTTGTAGTATATTCTAAAATATTTAAATTCAGAGAATAAGATTCTTTTAAATGTCATCATTAAGAAATTTGCTATGCAGAGGAAGGACCATTGTTTCTCTTCTTGAAATGAATATGATAATTTATCAAGCTTAGACGCATTCATCCATAAAACAGTTGTAGCTGTTAATAACATGATTTATGTTGTAGCAACTGAGTTGTTTTGCTTTTTATCTTAAATATGCTGCATAAAGTCCAGAATTTACAGTTATTATTTGTGGTTCTCCTTGCTTAGTTAGACCAAGTGAAGTAATTAAAATTCCTGAGCAAAGGTGTCATCTTAGCCAGTAAATGATTGTGTACATATAAATTGCATGGTGTGTACTCTCATTCGCTGCTTTATAGGTTAGGAAACATTCTGCTAAGGTTGAAATGTATTTTCTTTAGATTTGGGGTTTTTAGTCTATTGAATGTGTTATCACCGCTCACATACTTTGATTTCCCTTTAGCTGTCCAGTTCTGCTTCTTATTAGTATTATAAACACTGAGAAATCAAGACTTGACTGTTTCTTTAGTTGAAAATGTCATCATCGCATTTAAAATAGTAAATTAAAACCCAATACAACTTTTCACAGGCTACTTGAGGATTAACCTTTAAGTCTTTGTAATCCTGAGGGCTTCTTAAGAAGTAATCCCTGGTAACATTTCATTTTGACCTTTCTTTAGACTGGAGATTGTATCAGAAGTGGCTGGGTTTCAAAATCTACTTATCACTGAAGAGAAAAGACCTTGTTGAATTTAGATGTGTAGTCTCTCTGTGAATGGAAACCTCATTCTCATTGTTTTGATTTTCAAGATTCCATCTCAGGAACATTGTGCAGACCATATATTGCTCAGCAAATTATTTTGATGGCTGTGGGGAATCTACCCTCATTCATTTACATAGTTTTGCTTGTACTGGGCCTTATCTGTTTACTGTGCTCCCTTGTCACCAGGAAGAAGTGGCAGCCGCTTTAGAGCATAGCCTAAATGCTGCTATTGTTAGGCTGGATCCTATGTGACAGTCTTGCAGGGTTAAAAACTAAAAATTACTTACTTATTAAAACACAGTATTTTCCATTTATTCTTTCCTTCCTAGGGTGATTTTTACCTGGTGGATGTGTTTATAAGATGGGAGGTGAATTATAGACAAAGCAATTCTAGGCACTTAAAAATTGGTAGTGTATGCCGGGTGGTGGTGGTACACGCCTTTAATCACAACACTTGGGAGGCAGAGGCAGGCGGATCTCTGTGAGTTCGAGGCCAGCCTGGTCTAAAAGAGCTAGTTCCAGGACAGCCTCCAAAGCCACAGAGAAACCCTGTCTTGAAAAACAAAAAAAACAAAAAAAACAAAAAAAAAAAAGGTAGTGTAGCAGTAGAGAAATAAAAGTTGACTGTCATTAGGAGAACTAAAAGCCATATTAATCAGTAGGTAAAACTGGAGAAATTAATCCTCATAGCATGCTTCTTTTCCTTTTTTTCCCTATCAGATCCAAAAGACAATACATCTAGGACAGGTTCATTTGGTAATGAAGAAAGCAAGAAGAATTCAGTAAAAATGTGGTTTAGTCCTCGAAGTAAGAAGGTTAGATATGTTGTGAATAAAGTGTCAGTACCAACCCAGCCTCAAAAGGCAAAGGATGATAAAACCCAGGAAGCCTCCATATATGAATTTGTTTCCACAAGTCCCCCTGAAGTTGTTTCTAAGAGGGCTAAAACAGCTTCTAGAACATCTGCAAAAAAGAAGCAGAAGAAATCTTCAGCTGAAATCAACCAGGAGGGGAATTCAAGGCCAGAAACAGAAGATAGTAGGTTTGATTCTAAAGAGGAACTGAAGGAGGAAAGGGTTGACTCCTGTACTGAAGTACCAGTTATGGAAAGTCCACAGGTAAATCGTGAAATAGACTTATTAGCTAGTGGTTCTGTTGCAGAATCTGAATGTTCTGGAAGACTGACTGACGTCTCTTTACCATTGGCTGAGCATATAGTATCTCCAGGCACTGTGAGCAAGAGTGAGGAGACTCCTGAGAAGAAGGTCTGTGTAAAAGATCTTCGTTCAGTAGGGCAAAATGGAAATCACAAAGACTGGAGCAGGCCTCCTGATCCTGCTTCTAAGAATTGTGAGAGCAACATTCTGTGCCCCAGCAGCGATGTCATTAAACCAACAGTGCTTGCAGAAAATATACTCTTGGTTGATTGTTCTTCACTGCCTTCAGACCAGCTTCAAGTTGATATCACACTCAGGAGAAACAGTAACATGTCAGATAACTCCTTTAGCCTTTCACCAGGCACACCCCCACCTCTGCTGAATAATTCAACTCACAGACAAATGATGTCAAAGCCTTCCACAGTGAAGCTGTCACCCAGTATTACGGCCAGGAAAAGAAATCACAGAGGAGAGACTCTGCTTCATATTGCTTCTATTAAGGTAGGCTGCCTACTCTGAACTAAATCTTGGAATGAGACCATATTAGTTTGCTATTACTATAACAAATACTTGAGATAATAAGAGAAAAGATTTAATTTATTTCACAGTGTTATAAGTTTCTGTCCATACCCAATAGGTTGTGCTGCTTTGAATTTGTCATGGTAGATGTGTTTTGTGGAACAAAGCTGCTCATCTCATCATTGAGACGCAAGAGAGGGAATGAGGAAGGGGTGGAAATCCTGTTCTCTCTTCATGTCCAATGAAGATCTCAAAGTAGAAGATTGTGGAGAGAGGTTGGGGGAAGGGAACCCTTCCATTAACTGTACTCTAGGGATCCCATACTCTTGGAACAACTCCAATTTTTGGACTTATGTCTGGTTATGTTTCAGGTGATTTCTGCTAAGCCTGACTTATAACATTAGTCTTTTGGTCATCTTGTCATATTTATAAAACATCTCTATACATAAACTGTTGTGCTGTTAGTACTTCCCAGACATAGGTAGTGAATAATTATTATGCTCCATCCAACTATACGAACTATATCGTATGTATCAGAAATCACCCTAGAGCAGAAATAGCCACAGCAACAAATAAACTAATAAAATCTGACAGGCACTTTCAGGTGGCTTACCCACAAACTGTAGATTATATTCTGTTGTTCTAGGCATGAAATAGCCGCAGTAGGATACGAAAAAAACTTCTTCATTGATGTGTTCATGATTGCTTTGTGTAAGTTATCTCAATAAGACCATTTGCTTGAAAATTAAAGTTGCCTGTTTTGTTTTCTTCAGCCCAGTTATCAGATATTATTAGTTAATTGATTTATTACACTTAAACATGAATTGATTTGTATTGTTTTTTAAACCATTAACCATCTTTTTAAAATTTTTATTATGAGCTGGATGTGTATTTGATTTTTTTTTTTTTGTTTTTACAATTCTGGGAAACAAACACAGGGACTCACTCAAGCACTCTTACCAAGTCACTGTGCTTTCAACTTCTGTGTTTGACTTGTTAGACATTATCTAGGAAGAAAAAAATATCAGTGGGCTTATCAACATAGTTTTCTTTTTAGAAATAGTTTTTATTTAGTTCTCACCTTAAATCACTCATTTTAGCAAGAATCAATTGTCTAGATATGTGAGGAAACCAAATACTATAATTCTGTTGTCTTACTTCAGCTGCTCATCTTCAGAAAAAGATTTGAATGGGCCTTAATGTTAAAGCTACCATAAAATGGAGCAAGGAGCAGGGAAATGAGTTCATTTTGCACAGGGAATTCAGAGTTGATGACCTTTAAAGCACCCAAAATAAAGAAGGGGAAGTAACAGGTTTATGCAAGTCCAAAAGGAAGGCTTCCCAGGGTTGCTGCTGTGGTTGTTAACTTTTCCCACAGCATATAGGTAGATGTGCAGTTTTGTCAGTTCATTGGACTTTTGAGATGATTAATCTTGATTGTTAGTCTTTTTGGAGCTGGATCTGCTAGTTCACACTTGCAACTCTAGCATTCAGGAGACTGAGGCCAACCTGGATTATGTAGCTAGTTCAAGACTAGCTAGGACAGAAAACAGATCCCCCCCCCCCAATTGCCCCACTTCTGGTACCAGCTTCTTTCTTAGCTATTGTTGTATTGCTGTGAAGAGACATCTGATAACTCTTAGAGAAGGCATTTATTTGGAGGCTCACCTACACTTTCAGAGGTCATGTTTAGAAGCAGACAGGCATGGTGCTAGAGGAGTAGCTTGAGAGCTTTACTTCTTCAGCCACAGACAGTAGGGAGGGAAGGAAGAGGAGGGAGAGAGGTGGGAGAGAAAGGCATGGTCTTTTGAAACCTCAGATCCCACCTCTAATGATACATCTTCTCCAGGAATTACACACCTTCCCACAAACAGTTGATCAACTCGGGACTAAGCATGCAAACATATGAGCCTATGGGAGACATTTTCATTTAAACCATCACACATTTCACCCTTTGGCCCTCATAGGCTTGTAGCCATACCACAATGTAAAATGAATTTAACCCAACTTCAAATGTCTCCATCGTCTTTCAGTCTGAACACTGTTTGAAAGTCAGTCTTTAAACCGACTTCTGAGAGGCTATAGAACTGTGGAGCGCAGGGCCTGTTTAGCGAAAGTGGGTCACTGAGAGTACCTTTCCAGGCTTGCTTTTTTTCTGTTACTTCTACTTCTCTGCCTCCTAGTTGCCTTGATATGAATTGCTCTATGCTAACTCTGCCATGATGAACCAAAACCACTTGGAAAAATAAACCTTTCTCCCTCCAAGTTGTTTCTGTGTTGCAAAAATAAGCAACACAAAATTGATTGATTGTACTTTGTTCGGTTTTCTGAGAATCTAAGAGGCTGATATTTCATGATGCCATGCAGACGTTACAGATGTTAAGATGGCAATTTGAAGGCAAGGTGCTGAGAATCTAATGAATTCTAATTCTGGGTAGGGAGACAGAAACTAAGAGGATCTGCTTTAGAGTGTGGCTTTGCAACTTATACTTCCAGGCAGTCCTGTTTGTTTCCTTCATACTAGCATCAAGCAAGTAAGCATACAAACAAACTGGGATTTGTGGTATGTTGAAGATTTTATTTCTGGAGTACCATGTGGAGTCAGCGTCCAGCTCCTTCAGTTGCTACCCATCTCTCCCTTTGTAATACTAGTAGCTTTTTGTATGGCTGAGTTGTCAGGATTATTTATTTATGAAATTACTTTATTCCATGAATTCTAAGAACCAAGAGAACTGTTTACTATATTATAAAACTCCATTCCCAAAGGTCATTTTGTTCTCTCTGTTTAAAATGACATCTAATTGCTGAATGGGGCAAAGTTTTATCTGCTCAGCCAGTTATATTAGCTGGAAAATGTTAAGTACAATGGGTAAATAATTTTTATTGTACTTAATTGTAATGTGCTATAGTTTTTATGAAGATTTGTTTCTTAGTGGTGTTTTTGAAGAGCCAGTCTTCTAATAGGAAAAATGAATTGTTTGCATGCTTATGGAGAGTTACTTTATATTGCTGGAATTGCACATATTCACAGTATGTGAGACATAAAGAATCTTTCCTTTTATTGCAAAGTTGCAGAGACATAAATTGACTTGGGCACACACTTCTTTTTTTTTTTGTGCCTTTAAAGTATCACTTGAAAATACCAAAGCATTTAAGATTTCTTCTAAGTTTTCATAAATACTTTCCTCAGATGATTTTTCTTTCCAGGGCTTTAAGGAAATCACAATTATTCTTTTAAGTTGTAAGGAGTGAGAGAGTGCTTCTACTTAAAAAAAATAATAATTCTGTTAGAGAAGAAAGTAATTTAAAGTGACCAGAAGCAGAAGTTAATTTATTTCCTGGAAACTTTGTATTGGTGCAACCTATCCAGTTACTGTGGACCCTTCCTAATTATCATAATTTTATTTATGTGCATGACATTAAATTTACATGAAGTAGAAAAGATGAAAATAAGACAAACTTTAAAGTATTAGGGAGGAGAAAGCAGCTAAGGTCTAAAAAGCAGCAGTTTGCTAATCAGTGGTATGTTTTAGGGGTATACTATTAATAGAAGGCCTCCCTTTGATGATACTCAAAAGTGACATGAAAGCAAAGTGGGGCGTCTAGGAAATAGTCTGCTCGTGTCTCTAACACTGCCACTCATTTCCTATTGGACTTTCACATGTGGCTTCTGTTTCTCCCTTGTTTCTAGTGTTTTCTTGGCTTCTTAGGTTATTCTGTTTTGTCTGGTTTGTTTGTTTGTTAATAAAGAATTAAAGGAGAAGAAGTTTTGAGAATTTGTGTGTGTGTACACTTTGTGTGTGTGTACACTTTTTGGATGCTTTCTTGTTGAAGGTAGGGTAGATGTGGTCCTGGCAATTCATATATACAGTATTCAGGGAAATTTAAACAATTCAAATTTTATGTTGGTAGGGCTTCCTAAATTCATTTGGAACTTGAGTGTGAAACAAAAGTGGCTAAATTGTGTTAACTTGCACAGGAAGTATGGACTTTATACCATAGGTATTTGAGGCAAATATTTTCTAACTGGGCAGTCTTCCCCCCCCCATATATCCATTATACATAGTCATGAATTTCATAATGACATTTCATACAGTATCTAACATTACGTCAGCTGTTTCTTCGTGTTCCAATGTCTTTCCTTTTGCTGTGAAAAGCATAACCAAAAGCAGCTCAGGCTAGGAAACAGTTTGTTTCTACTTACCCTCTGGGTCTGTCCTTGGTTGATGGCAGAAATCATGGAGGAATGAATGCTGCTTACTGGCTCACTTACACTCTGGCTCATGCTGAACTTTTACACAGCTCAGGCCTATCTGTCTGCCTTGGTTGGGATTTTGCTCAGGATTGTTTGGATCTCCTTAGTCTTTACTGGCTCCATATGAATTTTAGGATTTTTTTTTTCCTATTCCTTTTAAAGCAAGGTTTGCTTGCGTGCATGTGTGTGTGCATGTGTTTGTGTGTGAGACTTAGTGGTAGTGGTGGTGCATGTGAGTGCAGGTTCCTGAAGAGGCCAGAAGAAGGGAGGGCATCCGCTTACCTGGGGCTAGAGCTGTAGGCAGTTGTGAACTTCCTGATGTGGCTGCTGGGAACCAAACTTACATTCTTTGCAAGAACAGTAGGCACTCTGAACAAACATATTTCTCTAGCCCCTATTTTATTTATTTTTTATTTCAATGAAGATTGTCATTGAAATTGTGGTGGGGATTACATTGAGTCTATGAAATCTCTTTTGGTAGTATGACCATTTCCAAAATATTCAATATTTCACTCAGTTGAAATGTATTTATAACTTTCTTTTAGGCTATTAAAATTTAGTCATTTGGTTAATTTATAACATTTTAATATATGTTGCACATGGATTAAAACAAAAACACTTTTAGCTACCATGTGAAGATGTTCTCTACTTGAGAAGTAGCCCCAAATATGGAAATAAGAAAAGGAAATTTTAGGGGCTGAAGATGTAGATCAGTAGGGCCAAGTGCTTGCCTAGTTTGCAGAGCTTAGAATCTCAGAATTGCAGAGAACCAGTTCTTGTGGCTCTAGTGGCTGCATAAACTCATCCCACTGTATAAAAGCTTTTCCTAAAGCTTTGTGTTGCTTTTAAGAGGGTATGATACCTTTTATAGCTAGAGATTTTTTAAAAATGGCTTTGAGGGTTGACCAATACTTTGATTAAATAGGTAATCAACTATGGCAAACGAGGCTAGAGCCTTCTGCCCACATTGAATAAGGAATGCATATGATAATGAGACTGCAGTGTTGTATAGGTTGGAGATTGTGTTTCTGGGGAAAGGAATAGAAAGGTTGGGAATGTTAGAAAGTGGTAAAGGACATGCTTGAGAAGAGAGAATGCAAGCCTAATTCTCAGCCTTGTCTGCTTTGCCAAGGCTGTCTTCTGTTAAAGGATAGCAACAGAGGGGATCTTATTGACCAACTATATCAGGATACAGAAAGCTCAGAATTGGGAGGAGACTTACTTTACTGCCTGCCTGTCTCCCTTCCCCCTTCCCTCTCCCCCCCTCCCTCTCCCTTTTCTTATCTTTTTTTTTTTTTTTTTTTTGGTGACAGGGTTTCTCTGTGTAGCCCTAGCTGTCCTGGAACTAGCTCTATAGACCAGGCTGGTCTCGAACTCACAGAGATTCCCCTGCTTTGCCTCCCTAGTGCTGGGATTAAAGATATGTGCCACCATTGCCCAACTGCAAGGAGACTTAATTTTCATGTCATTTAATAATTGAAAAGATCTTAATAGCTTGAAGGGAGAATGAATATTATCTGCTGATCCTTTATTTCATCTTAATACTCTTATTTTCAACATCTTGTTCATCTAGATTGAAATCAGGCTCTGATGCTATATTATTTCTCCTCTCTTCCTTCTGCCTTCCCTGTGTCAGTGAGCCATTGTTGAAAAGTTACTATATGGATCTCTAGATTGCTGGTCTATGAGAAATGAGAAAGATAGAAAACTGTTCAGCTAGTGAGAAAAATATATAAGGAATAGTATGGATTTGATGGAAACTGCATTTTCTACCATTCAGTTAATTGATAATGGGTAGTTGTTTAGTTCCATAGCAGAAAATAAAAAAGTAATGCCAATTTTGTGTGTTGTATGACTGTTTTTCTCAATCCCTTTCCTGGAATTTTAAACAGAACACCTGCTTCTGCCATGAAGATACCTTTGGTGCCTATAAACTAAATTAGTGACTTTGGGTAAATTGAGTAACTACCAATAAAGCAGGACTTTTTGGCAGTTTTAACATTGGTTTCATTGACTAGCTTGTTTGCTGTAAACAGTTTTGTTTATTTTGATGCTCAAAAATTATTTTCATATATGTTCAAAATGATGTTTTTACAAATGAAATGATGACTTGAAATTTAGGGTAGTCTCTGGCTAGAGGTCTTCATTTTCTTTCTTGAACTGAATTTTCAGTATGGATTGTTAGTAATATTCAAGTGCAGACAAAATGACTTGGCATCTCAGGATTTTAGAGACATAATATTTCTTGACTCACGAGCAGCAGTCATGGCGTAAGGGAAAGATTCATTTACCTTGAAGAAGACAGAATCTTTAAAAAAAGACTCAGTAACTTCATCTCATTCATGATATATTTTAATGTCCTTTAATTTTTTTTCCCGTTATTCTACCAGGGAGATATACCTTCTGTTGAATACCTCTTGCAAAATGGAAACGACCCCAATGTTAAAGATCATGCTGGATGGACACCGTTGGTAGTTTTCCTTTGTGTATCTTTGCTGTGTTGTGGATCTCTTTGTTTTTTCATCCTTTTTATGCTTATGGCTCTAGTTTATGGTTTCGTGGTTGTTCATATATCATGCTTTGCCACCTACACTCTTTAGTCTGAAGAATTTATGTTTTGACCAAGTATGAAAAGAAAGTTATTTTTCATCTAGCTGTTTCAGTTGTGACAGGAAAGTAATTGACTACCTTTTGAGTACTTTTAGATATAGGAGTACAGTTTCACTGCATTGTTGGAAGTCAGCTCATGTGTGGTGGTAACTGCTACCTACAGTGGACATCAGGCTTCATTGCCCATGCATGCCACTAGAACCAGAGAGATTTTTGGTTTCATGAACAGAGTAGTTGGAAGGATGGAATGTGATGGCCAGCGAGTACTTGGATCTTGGCCTCTTTCTTATTTTAGCCATTTGTGAGTTGAGGAAGTGGCAGTAGCAGTAGAAGACTCTCGTAAACATTTAAAAAGTCTGTTCATTATTGCTGTCATCAATTGCAATGGGAAGAAAAGTCTGAAAAAAGATTGGAAAACACATTTGGAACCACTTTTAACATGGACTAATGAAGACAGTAAGCATTGGATTATAATGTAGCCCCAAAGCATCCACAAGGGAGGTGGGTGCCTTTATCTTGTAAACTAGAGTTTCAGCAGAGAATTGAAACTCATTAGGCCAGGTACAAAAAATGGCTTAAAGGTATAATATATAAATATGTAATATTTATATGTGTTAAAATAAGTGTGTAGCATATATAAAATGACTTCTTGACAAATTCTTAAGCCAAGAGGGCTTAATCAGGATTCAGTTCATCGTGTGTCACAGGCTAGCTAACATCAGTTAGGAAGGTTGGCTGTCTTAGTCTTTCCTAACTCTCTTGCTCTTTCCTTTGTTACTAATCCCATCATTTTTGTCTATTCAGAAAGGACATTTGAAAGCCACCCCCTTGTTACGTCTGTTGTCACTGGCACCAGATACCCGGTAGTGTCCATCAGCAAAGAGAACATGTCTTGTAAATCGTCCTAGATGTCACTTTGCTGGGTGATTATGTGTGAATGTTGATGTACAGTTTGAGTTGGTACGTGGTTCGAAGCACTCAATTCTCCTCAGGCTTGGAGCATTCCAGCTCTGTATGTGGTCTGGTTGTTGCACATTAAGAGTTTTTTTTCTAGCGTTGTAAAATTATTGTAGAAAAATTTCACAGCTGTAGTTGCTTTAAAGCACATTTTAAAAAGAAAAGCATGTGATCAAAGACTTGTCCTTTCTCATGAAGTACACATATTTTCATCACTGTGTACTTTTTACCATGAAAATGACGATTAGTGGCTTTGACTTTGTCAACAGCCTAAGGTTTGATGGTAGTTATATAAGAATAACTTTATTGATTTATTGTTATCAGTAATTTTTCTAAAGTATATTTATTAATTCACTTTTTCCTTCCATCCTCTTTACTATCCCTCTAAAACTGATTTTTTATTAGCATGAAGCCTGCAGTCATGGGCACCTGAAGGTAGTGGAATTGCTGCTCCAGCATAATGCTTTGGTGAATACCACAGGCTATCAGAATGACACACCATTGCACGATGCAGCCAAGAATGGCCATGTGGATATAGTCAGGGTGTTACTGTCCAATGGCGCCTCCAGGAATGCTGTGTAAGTAGTTGCCTACAATTTTCTGAATGGATTTATGTTCTTGCATGAAGGAATGTACTGAAGCAATAACTACTCAAGTTGGCATTCTGGTCTCTCATCTTCTACAGGTAAAGTTAGATGTGGTAATCAGCATGCATGTTAGAGTCAACGCTCATGCTTTCTTTTTCAAAACTCATGCATTTGAAGGAGATTTCTTCTCTGCAGAAACAATATCAATTTCATTTAGAAACCCTTGTTTCATAGACAGATTCACTTAGTGGTTTATATCTTGTGGATTGAATCATACTTAATAAAAATTAGATGCTACTTAATATTTTATACTTAATACAAATTAGATATTTAATTTTTGTGGTACTTAATACTTTAGACTCATTTTAAATATTCTGTTAGCTCTTTCTGCATATTAGTTCAACAAAAGTTAAAGTGTATAAGAATTCAGATATTGGGCAAGTGCAGTTGAATTTTCTCCCAGATTTTTCACATTATTCAAATGAGACTCTGAGCAAATTGTTTTGCAGTGTCAGGGCACAGAGGAGCATCAGTGAATGCTGGCGGCTGCATCTTAAAACTGCTATTGTCAAGAGTATCACAAACAAATGTCGTATGCAGAATTTTATATCTTTAATCTGGAACTTGGCTCTTGTCTCCCTATATGTTATTTTACTCTTCAGTTAATTAGGTAGTTGAAATGAAAATGCAAAAATTGCTTCTCTGCCCTCATTGCATTTGTAGACTTCAAAAGAGTCCAACGGTAGCCTCCCCCTTAGTAGAAAGATATGTAAGAACCACACCATGTAGGTCTTTTGACTTGTAAATTTTAATAGGTAGCCACTTAACAGTTGAAAAATAAATCACTAATGAAGAATATAACATAACCTGGTGCTTCTAACTTCATTAAGTATGTCAGTCCTTCTTTGTTTCCCATCACAAATTGTAAGGCATTTGGGTTAAATTCTGGGGGAAAATGTGAGTGTGTGTGTGTGTTTGTGTGTGCGTGTTTTGTTTTTCTGTCCGTATGTATTTGTATACAGGAATCTCATAGAGGTAATATATAACTATGTGAATACCATACAAATATGACCCTCCTGTGGGTGTGGTAAGCCATTTGATAAAGCAAATGGTTGCTTGGGTCAGGTGAAACCTGTAGTTTCCACCCAGGGTTCTTAAATCAGCCCTGACTACTTTAATGAATGGAGCACTGGTCATGGTGTTAGGGAATCCAGCTTTTATTTGTGACTCTATTATTGACTTTATAGCCGCAGGCAGGTTAATTTCTGTGCTTTGGTGTCCTCACCTATAAAACATGGGTGCTGCCTGCTGCTTTTCTATTTCTTTAGAGCATAGTGAGGATTAATGAGCCAAAACACAGAGCCTGTCTTGTGGTTTGTACACCATGATTCTTCACTGTACTGTGAAGACTCGTTAATATACAAGGAGTAGGCATGGGGCAGGGAATGAGTCTGCCTTCACAGGTGCTTTCTCAGAGATCAGGTGCCTGCCATTTTGTAATAAGTGGCCTGCCTTGGCAAAGTGACACAATTAGACACAGTTAAGCACTGTCTGATAAACCTTTTCACATTAAAGAAAATGTTTAAGTGTCAGTGTCTGCTGTTGATGAGCCAGTATCCATCTATATCTTACAGACACTTGGAAACCACTACTCCAAAACAGTCTTTAGAGGTGCTAAATTTTTATTAAAATTTAAATAGCACATGTGTCCAGTGCCTCCTGCGTTGGTCAGGTGGCTGGTACGGGTAGGACAGTTGGGGAGGAGGATGTATTTGGGAACAGAAGTTGAGATTGATGTTGGATAAAGGTTAATTGGGTAGATTTATCCTTTGAATTCGTGCTGTCACCTTAGAACTGTTTGGAATGTGTTGTGAGGAAGGCATGCTATCCCTCCTTTTCAAATGTGGAACCAGTGCTTAGTCTGCTGTTGAGAACTTTTCCTTGAATGGACATTGCATTCTCAAGTAGAAAACTATTATATGGACCAATGGACCTATTAATTGTCTTCCTGCCTTAGTAAATTTTTAACAGAATGAATCCTCTACAGAAAAGGTAACTGTTTTATGGCATTCAAAAGTATGTTGCTCTTTTGAGAGATTGTGCTTTTGCCTGCTCACAGCAAGCAAAGTGATATGAAAAATTAAGTCTTTGTGAATGCAGTTTTATAGTTGTTCATAAAGCATTCCATTCATTGACTCTCTTGACATTCTGTCATGCCCTGTAGGTTTAGTTTTGTTAAAGTGCCTAGCTTATGTTTTTGCATGTTGGATGATCTGCACGTGCAGACATAAATTTTTGTTTGCTCATCCTTACTTTTTCCTGTTGCTACAGCTGATTCAAGGCACAGCTGTAGGTAGGTGTCTACTATGTCACTCCTGTATGGGAAAGGACATTAAAGAATTTTATTGTTGTTGTCTGAACACTGTCTTTGGGGTATAACTGAAGCATTGGACACCTCAGCTTAACCCTTCAAGAAATGAAACTCATCTTTGTAATCAGTCTTGATGGTAAGAAAGAATCCTGGCCAAGAAAAGGGTTTTCAGTTCCTGTCTCATACTCTTTTATCTTTAGATGGTACCGTACAGAGAAATGAACATTTCTTATATTCAGTAAAAAAGCATGCTTGATATATTTTCCCTTATTGATCATGTGATGTATCATCAAGTGGAGGAAACTATGATACGATTAGCACTTCAGGCATAACCTACCATGGTTTCTTATTCTTTTTTTTTATTCTGTAGTCTCCCAACAGAGCAAATTCAGCAGTGTTTGCCGTCACTGTACTGGTACTGTCTGCTAGGCACCATCTTAAGGACTTTTGATGTATTAATTCATTTGGTCTTCCTAATAGTCTTAGAAAGCAAGCTGTATCAATCCCATTTTACAGGTGGCAAACAGGCACTAGAGGTTGAAGTAGTTTTTGTAAGGCCACACAATGATCCTAGACCCAAAACTTGAATTAGGGCAGTGTTCCTCTGTAACCTGGCTCCTAGCTATCATGCACGACCATGCCATTCCTCTTGCTCACACCTGCTTAGAGAACTCTTCAGGGTCTTGTTGCGATAGGAGAAACATCTACCCTTTAACACTATCTCTTTTTGTTTCATAATCAGGGCATAGCTCCAGCTTCTCAAATCCCTTATATCCTGTGATACACAAGTGTGCTCTACCTCACCCCCGTTTCTTTATCTGTTTTCTCCCTCCTCTCGTCATTTTCAGGATTGCAGATTTGCCAGACTATCACACAGTACCCACACATCCTTCTCTCTGCTTGGAGTACTCCTATTCTGCCTCTGTTCCCCTTTCTAGCTTTGGAAGTTTTCACTAGACTTACAAGTTCTCCCAGTGTGCTTTTCATTGAATTCTGTCAAGATGCAAACTACATTGGTTCCTTAGTGCCTAAAAGAGAGGGAAAACCCACCTTGTTGAATATTTTTCAAGCTGATTACATAGCAGTGGTTATCACCTCTATGCGTGTATACACATACTCTTTGTGTGTAAACTGCAGAAATGATTGCTTATTATATCACATAGACACATGTGCTATTTGTTTTCATACAGTCTATTAGTCAGTATTTCAGTGGTACTGATTTTCCAGGACTTTTTGTTTGTTTGTTTACTACTTATTAGTTAGCAAAACACAGTAATTTAGGAACTCTCAGATCTTCTGAGAAAGTTGGAAAATGTAAAATCCTTATCTTTGTCTTTAAAAATTTTAAATGAGCCGGGCGTTGGTGGCGCACGCCTTTAATCCCAGCACTCGGGAGGCAGAGGCAGGCGGATCTCTGTGAGTTCGAGACCAGCCTGGTCTACAAAGTGAGTTCCAGGACAGCCTCCAAAGCCACAGAGAAACCCTGTCTCGAAAAACCAAAAAAAAAAAAAAAAAAAAAAATTAAATGAAATGTATTTTCTGAACTATGATTTAAATTCCAAAAGGAGCCTGGCATGGCGGCTCATACCTTTAATCCTATCACTTGGGAAGCAGAGGGAGGCTGATGTCTGTGAGTTTTAGGTCAACCAAGGCTAGACTACACCGTGAAACCTTGTCTCATGAAACTGAAAACCAAACAAAAGTAAGGAAAAGGGCCAATAAAATGGCTAGTGGCACAGAGGAAAGGCACTCGCCTCTAGGCCTGATTGGTATGATTTCCATCCATCCATGGGGCCCAGGTATAGGAAGGAAAAGTCCAATTCTTGCCACTTGTCCTCTGGTCTTCACACAGACACACACACAAATAAATGAGTCTAAGAAAAAAAAAATCAAGCTCTAAAAGTAAAATCACAGGGCAGTCAGTAGGGGAAGGCATGTACTAGAGAAAATGAAATAGGAAAATCTGCTAATATACTGTGCTATAAACCAATAGACAAAATTAATAAAAAGGATAGGATTTTTTTTGGTCAGTGATCATATGATATGCTTCAGTAACCAGGAAAACAGCGCTTTTAGAAGGATTTCTAATGCATGAAGAATATTAACTATATGCTGTTTCTTGGAGTTCACTGTCTTTTAGGAGATTTTCTTTGATATAAGGAATGGTTAGAGGTAACACATGTGGCAGTTGTTAGTACATTGTCAGGAACCTGTATTCTAGAAATATCTTAATTATTCCACTGACCCAGACACACTTGCTTTTACATTTTCACAGTTGTGTCTCTTTCTCTAATGTTCATTGCCTTCTGTCTGATAAGAGTTCAGCTCCCTAGAAGTAGAAGGCTTTTTTCCATCTGGTGCATACATTTCAGCAGCCATATTGCTTATTTCCTCCTCAGGCTTTTCACATTCATCTACCAAATGCCACTTTCCAGTCTTGGCCCAGGGCCATTTCATTTACCAATGTATATTCTTTACCTCCATTTTATCCCATTACTTACCTTTGATATATACTTGATCAGTTTCATATTTATTTATTGAGTTAGTATTTGCTTTCAGTGGTGTGTGGAGAAGGGAAAGTTTAGTACACTCTATTCTAGATACTTGATGTGAGTGTTAAGACTTATGTGTCATGCCAGACAATAGAGAACGCTGTGTTTATATTTGGGAAAAGAGTCATTGTGCAAGCTCCTTGTCCTTTCCAATAAAATAATAAATTATGTCTATTTTGAGTTAATATGTCCTTCTACAATGATGGAAGATAACTAATTTGCCTCTGTTCTGATTAGCAGTCACAGTGTTAATGACTAGGGTATGCAGCACTTTGTTTCTTTTCCTTCAGATATCTACTTTACACAAAGGGAATAAATAATGTGAATATTTAAATTGAGTTTTCATACTATGCCTATAACCTGTGTTAATCCATCCATATATTTTGGAAAGAGCACATTTTGTATGTGTCCACATAAGAAGAGTGGAATATAGCTCATGTTTGCTTGCTATGGTTAAGTTTCTGCTGGTAAACCTGTGTCTGTTTCCGTATTTCTGTTGATGACAACAAATGTAAAATTATGACAGTGCAGTAGGCCATGTCTTCTATGCAGCGGGACTGGGCTTAACCTTTCCAGTGTGGTATCTGTAGATAATAAATATCTAATAAAACTACTAGGCAGTTTGTGAAGAAATTCTTCAGAATTTGATTGCTCCAGACCATTTATTCATGTGGAAGTCTGCCATAGTCACACTATGGTGATGATATGTTGCGGAGTACTTTCATTTGGCATTTTTTCATGTTGTCATAGGGGATTTTTACCTCTGCCATTGTAAATAACTATGCTCATGTCATCAGTTAGTGTGTTAAATTCACTTGACTAAGGTTTTTCTCTGAGGTCTGAAATCTCCTTGTACTTGTTAGAAAGTCCTCATGTGTTAGAGCATATACATATTTTAAGTAAAAACATATACTATGACTTTGTTTATCCATTTTTGCAGTTGGTTTAAGAATTATAATCTTAGCTGGGCAGTGGTGGTGCACGCCTTTAATCCCAGCACTCGGGAGGCAGAGGCAGGCGGATCTCTGTGAGTTCGAGGCCAGGCTGGACCGACAGCCTCCAAAACAATACAGAGAAACCCTGTCTCGTAAAACCAAAAAAAAAAAAAAAAAAAAGTAAAATCTTGATTCTTCAAATCAGGCTTCTATTTTGTGGTTGTCATTTATAGCATATGTCTATGAGGAGGCATATAGTTGGTATATAAGCAATATGGATTTGAATATGAAATTGGGAAGTCTCCAGTAGAATGGATGAGATCCTTTTGCAATGCTTTGACATTACTTACTCTAACTGTAAATAATGGCTCGTGCCACATTGTTGTAAATCAGGAACCTAAAATGCAGTTGCTTTTTACCTTGACTGGAGAAAGAATGGTGTGGACCTGGGCCTAAAGGGTAACCTGAAAATGCAGCCTTATCACTGTTTAGTCAGTACCGTTGAAAGAAGACAGCAATTGAGCCTGTTGTCATGAATACTGTCATGAGAGATTTGCTGTGGCTCATTTCTTATCTTAATCCACTAGCTCTCTTTTCCCAAGATGACATTATAATAGCTTTCTCTAAGGTCGTTGACTCGGAGAGGCTTAGATCGTAATGTGTGTGACTTCTGTGACTCCTCAAACAAAGTTGACACTTTCCTTCTTCCCTTAATGTTTCATTCTTTTTCCTTTAAGACATTTTTTACACACTCAAAGTTATAAGATTAGTATAGTACCTTGTTAATATTTTTTGTATCTCATTTAACACACCGTGTTTTCACTTTTGTTTTCAGTGCTTGAGTACTGTGCATGTTTGACAAGCACTGAACCCAGAGCTATATACCCAGCCCTCATGAACTTTAATGGAATATATATATACCATATTCTTAAAAACTGTAAGAGTTTACAAAAGATAACTTCATTTTGAAAGTTTAATACCACAGTATGGTATATTAAAATATATTTTGAAATGTTCTTAAATTATAAAGAAGAGGGATGGTTGACCATGTGTTGTAACTTTAACAAATTATTTACAATGGACTTGTTAAGCATGGGCTATATTGAATGTTACTGAGAATACAAGGCAAATGTCACCTAAATAGATCATTAAAACCTGTTGCTGCTTTATACTCTGTGAAATGATGGGGTCGTACTTTCATCTTTGAAATTTCTTCTAGTATAGCACGCTGTGATTTGTAAAGATGTATGCATTCAGAAATCTGCATCAGGCTGTTCTCTGAATCACAGTAGTTAGCTTTACAGTGGCCATGATTTATTTAGAATACATACACATATGCAAACCCCCCCACATATACAATGATAGTATATAAAAGTAACCTATCCATTATTTTAGTGTTTGTTCTGTGATACAGTTTTCCTCATAGTGCTTCCCAATGACTTTCCTATGGCTATATGTAAATTTGTATTTGTTTATATATAGACAATAGCATCTGTAATAGCTCTAGTAAATTGGATTTATGTTTGCACATGAAAGCATCTCACCTCTGGTGATTAATGACTATGAAATATTAGGAAATAAAATATGAATACAAAGAATACAGAATTGTGAAAAGTTCACATGTAAGTTATATTCGGTTAAAGATACTCCTTATAATTATTGGTTTCAAAATGAAAATTTCCATTAAAATTAAATTTTAATTTAAAATATTTTTAGAGAATATATTTGATCATATTATTTCCCCTTCCCCAGTTCCTCCCAGAGTCTCCCTACCTCCCTACCAGTCAATTTTTACTTAATTGATTCTTCGTATTTGTTGTTGTTTCTATTTCATTGACTTCAGTCGTGGACTTAATTATTCCTTTCCCTCTATTCTTATGGTGTTAACTTCTTGTTGTTCTGGAGCTTTCAGGTGTGTTGCTAAATTTCCAGTATAAGATCTCTTCAAATTTGTGATATAGGCTTTTAGTGCTGTGAACCTGCCTCTTTGTACTGCCCTTGTGTCCTATTGGTTTGGGTGTTGTGTTTTCATTTTCATCCAGTCATAAAATTTCCTTCTTGATTTTAGTCTTGATCCATTTTTTTTCCATTTGTAGGGAGTTGTTCAGCTTCCAAGAGTTTGTATACTTTTTGTGGTTTCTAGGTTGATACCCAGGTTTAACCCATGGTGATCAGATAGGGTACAGAGTGTTATTTAAACTTTCTTTTGTCTGTTAAGGTTTATTTGTGGTCAATTTTGGAGAAAGTTTGTGGGCTGATGAGAAGAAAGTATATTCTTTAGTGTTTGGGTAGAATATTCTATAAATGTCATCTATGTTCATTTTACTTATGATGTTATTAACTACAGCATTAGTTTTGTCTGTCTATTGTCCTGAGTGAGAATATATGACCTGTCCATTGACAAGAGTGGGTATTCAAGTCTCCCAGTATCACTATGGTAGGGTCACAGTTCTAAGAGACTATAAGGATACTTTGACTTCTTCCTTATCTGTTTGTCCTTGCTGTCTTTTCATTGTTTAGAGAACTTGGGAGACCTTGGGTCCACATTAAGAGGTCAAGTCCCTAGTGGATGGGAATCGACTGGAAGGACGTTCTGAGTCCCAGCTATATGTGTTTGGCTGTGGACACTGGGGATCTCTGGTAGAGTGGTTCTGTGGGTTGGTGGCATCACAGAGGAAGAGAAGGGTGAAAGGGACTGCAGGAAAGAACTAGGGGACCCTGGGCCCTCAGCAGGAGGCTAAGTCCCTAGAGGATGGAGGTGGGCCGGGTTCCTTCTTTGTTTCCTCACTGATAGTAGATCCTCATGACTAAGTGAGCTCCGAGTCACTACAGTTACAATCGTGTGTTATTAAGGATGTTGAAAACTGGTTGTGGAAGTACATCTATTTGTTAAGAAGGCAGTTATACATTTTATTTACGTAAACACATCTGTACTTGTTTTACCAGTAACATATTTGGTGTACGTCCTGTGGATTATACAGACAATGAAAATATAAGATCATTATTGCTGCTACCAGAGAAGAATGAATCATCCTCAACTAGCCAGTGCTCAGTCGTAAGTATGGATTTAGCTTTGGGACCATTTATATCTTTTATTGAACTTGAAAGGACCATAATATGAAAGCTTCCAGTTAGCAGACAGCTTTCATTCACCAATTATTGTGCCCTTCTGGAGTACTGACTACTATGGATTCAAAGACATAATAAGAATATATCTATCAAGAAATGTTTATTGAACCCTGTATATTTTAGGCAGCATCCATATAAAAATGAACATGACTGAAGCAACTCTTATTCAGGGAACTTGCTTGCCAGTGAGAGGTAGAGAATGTAAATTGAGAATGCAGTCATTTCAGAAGTGGGCACACAAGTGCCTTCAGGATGGTTTTGTGTTGTGTACCTGGTGGGACGTGCTAGCCTCCTGAAGGACACTGATTAGTGAGGCCTTTTAAGAATCGGTTTGAACTAAAACTTGAATTATGACGGGGAGGCAGCCAGATGGCCACATAAAGGACATTGTATAGAAACCCTCAAATAGATGAAATGGGCATGCTTGGAGATTACAGCTAGTAATTGCTAGAGATAGTGAGAGTCTGAGAATAGAAACATTGAAAGGTTTCAGAGTGCAGGAGAGACAAGAGTTGAATTTTGTTCTGACATTTGCTCTTTTGATTTACAAAGGGAATCTGTGGAGTGTGTGTAAGAGTGAAAGAAATACCACTTAGGATTGTGACAAGCAAGTGCCAACATGGCACAAACTAAGCGAATAGCGCTGAAGGTCTGTAAGAAAGAAAGAGTGAAGTTCAGGGTATAGTTTTCCCAACAGTACTTTCTCTTGGATTTTCTATGACAAGTGGGGAATGAGTAGAGTTAGTATTACTGGAGCCATAGATGAGCTGGTGCCATTTGCTGGCATTGGAAAGGGGATCCTTTATCCTAGGTGCCAGTTTTACATCTATTGACGGAGCTGTTAAATACTAGTTAGAAATGTGAGCATGTGAGTTAGATAAAAGGTACAAGTTAGAGACACGGTAGAAAAAAGATCCATGCCTTGTGATCCCATAGCCAAGTAGAAAATATAAATGTAAAAATGCTTGTTATAATTTGTAATGTAAGCAATGAAGTATGCAAAAATTAATATGTACAGTAGACTCTCAAGGAAGCTCACTTCAGAAACTGTCAGGAAGAACTTCTAGAAGGTGACAGAGGGTGTCTGAGAGAAAGCTGATGGATGCAGGTGTGGAAAGTGACAGAAAACTCCTAATCAGAAACATTTGACCGTTATAAAGATCATCCCATTGGCAGTTGTGACTGCACTGAGAACCTGTTTTTTTTTCCTTTACTCGCCATGCTTGATTTAGTGGCTCTGGTGTTACTTGTGTGCCCTTATGTCTGTAGGATGGTTGCTGCTGTTCCACATATGACAGTGGCCAGCTAGAAGAGGACATCAAAGCATTTTCTTGGAGCCTTCACTGAATTCTTTCTTGTGTTTTATTGGTTAGAACTGGCTGCATACTGTTTTTGATGTATCGAGGGAGAGAGATGGGCCAGATCTTGTAGGGGAGCTACCAGAACAAAATTTGGCTTTTTCATGTAGAAGATGGGAAGAGTGGGTTTTGTGCAGAAAGCTAGCAGTGCCTACTGCTTCAGCTTCTGAGAGGAAAGGAAGCATAAAAACAGACACATAAAGAACAACTATTGGGTTTAGTGTGCAAGGAGCATGAATGATGTTAAAGAGTTTTAGGGTGCAAAGCCAGATTGGGATCAGCCTATGAAAGGCCTTAGCTTTCTTAATAGGGAGTTTAGATTTAATGGGGCATCATCAGTGTGTTTATACCTGGAGCAAGATGGTTTGCAGGATGACTTGGAGTCAGAAGAAACTTAGGTTGAGTGGAGTCTGCTGTGGTAAAGGCTAGGATTAATGAGGCCTGGAATGAGGGGTGGTGGTTGTGAGATGAGGATGGAGAGGAGAGACAGACACAGAGAGCTCACTGTTCAAATGCTCATGTGTTCAAATGATGAGGGGCTTACAACAGTATGACCAAACTTTCCTGTTGTCTTAATGACTGATATGTGGCTACAGAAGCTCATGATAATAAACACATCTGTGTTAAGTGGAGGTAGTTGGCCATGTGCAATTGTTAATTTACATCTGAGATGTGATACCTCTAACTGTCCCCACACTTTGCTCACTCAACCCAGGCTGCTTTGCTGGCTTTTGTCAGGCTGAGATGAAGCCATAACTGTTCTGCAAAGCCCTTCTTGTCCAGAAAGGACAGTGCAGTAATGACTGATGCCATTGCTTAGTTACAGATCTAGCCTAAGGTCTTTATAATTTGGTGTGGTCATAGGTGCTATCATGGATAGTTACCTTTATACCCTGAGAACCTTTATCTTTTGATTTAGACCACAGTCTGATAAATGTATTCCAAATGATAGTTTGGGAATGAAAAGGACCCAGAAGTCAGCGCTTTAATTTCTTCCCTTTTAAAAATAGGAAAACTGAGACCTAGAAAGGTCTTGATTTGCCCAGGATTATTAACCAGACATTAAAACATTTTTTTAATGGACCAGTTAGAACTCAGATTTCTTAAGTCATTCGGTTCCATCATACTTTATAGATTGGTACTTATTTTACTCATTTATTCTTGAACTCCCTGCTAGAACATAGTATATTTAAGTTGTCATCATAGATTATTTTAAATGTGCCAGGAATACAAATACCTCTATGCTATCCTTAGAGTCTGATTATGATAATTACTTTGAGAAAAGGATTTTTATTTTGAAACCTAAAAAACATACAGTTTTTGTGTGCCATGTGGCATTGACATTATTGTTATGTCTTTTTGTTGTTTTGAGATAGGCCTTCATTATGTAGCCCAGGATAGCCTGGAACTTGAAACCTACCTGCCGCTGCCTCAAAGGGTAAGAGGTGTACAACACCATGACTGCGTTATTTATTCTTAGTGATTGATATGTAGATAAGGAGGCTAATGGATGATAAACAAATCTGTGTAAGTGGGAATGGTAGGTTATTGCAGTTGTTAAAAGATAAGGTCTAGGACGTGATGCCCCTCGCTACTACCGGACTTCACTCGCTCAACCTGGCTGTTTTGCTGTGTCTGTAGTCTATCATGTATGTTCCCTTTCATGTCCTAAGCTTAGCTAAGGACATGAACAGATTTGAGGAGCCACTGTCCTCCTATCCCACTTCCTTACACCATTCAGAACTAATTATACCTGGGAATTATTTAGTTATACTGCTAGGAGCTGGAACTAGAACCTTATATTTGCAGTCCATCCCTGAGCTACATCCCCAGTTCTGGACCATTTATTAAAATTAGTAGTCGCCCAGTGCTGCTCATCTCACTCACCCCCTTGTTCCCTTTTACCACACAGTTGAGAAATGGCATCATGCTCTTCCTCTAGTTTATTTTTCTCATCCTCATTAGAATGTACTGTGTGAGTGTAGGGATTGGTTCACTACAACAGGTCTTTGCATGGACTACAGTGTGGCAAGTACTGAGTCTCAGTTAAATTTTGTTGGCTGAGCAAGCTTTCATGTCTGAGAGTGGTGGGTGCCTTGTGCGCTGGTCCCCACATGATGTGGCATCTGGAATACTTAGTTTATACTGTAAGCTGTATTGAGTAGCTCCTTCAGGGAATGTGCAGGTGGGTAAAGGTGATAAGTTGGTGCAGTTGAATCTATCTGTGTTTCATTCGGAATTGTTTCAAGTAAGACTTGATGACCCTGCTTCGAGGCTGAGAAGCAACCTCTGGTTTTAACCAAAAGCTTCCTGCCATGTCCATTTAGGGACTTGTGCCCACGTCCCTTAAAGCAGCATGCTTATCTTTTCTAGTTTTTCCTGATTCTTTAATTTTTTTATTGTATTTGCTTATGTTTATATGTGGGTGTGGGTGTGGGTGTGACTCCGTGTGTGTGCATGCCTAGATGTGCATACCATATGCACTTGTAGAGGCCAGAAGATGGACAACAGGAGTCGCTCTCCCCTACCACTTGGGTCCTGGGGATCAAATTCAGGTTGTCAGGCCTGGCTGCAAGCTCCTCCTCCCCCAGAGCCATCTCTTTAGCCCTCTTTTTAGATTATTGATAAATTTATTAATAATAACAATTTTATCTAAGAAAAATACCACATTGAATTTAAGTTTTGAGTTTATTTAATGCCAAGAAACATAATCTGTAAGTCTCTATAAAGGGAGGTTATTACCTTTGGGTTCTTTTGAGCATCATGGTTTCAAGATCCCCTTGAATTAAACATGCAGTCCCTATGATGTACAATCCCAAGTTGCCATGTGACTTTGGCAGCTGTTTGTTGTATTCCTTAACTATAAGAAATTGGTACCAGTTTTTCTATTTTATGCAAATTTAAAAAAAGACTGATAGGAAAATACTTGACCCACTTTGATACTTCCCTTGGTTGGCACAAATAGTATTGTATGCTATATTTAGAACTGATATATTTTCACTCTTTTTATTTTGTACATAGACCTACTTTGCCTAAAGTGGAGTCATGCAAATCAAGAAGCAATGTGTTCTCTGCAGAGTTATTTTTTTTCTTCCTTTTATATGAAAGTCACAATAAATTTCTTTTTTTTTTTGATTCCTCAATTTTTTATTTATTATTATTATTTTTTATTTTCCATTTTAAATTTAGATAAGAAACAAGGTTGCTTCACAAGTCAGTTCGAGGTCCCTCTCCCTTTCCCTCCCCTCCTCCCGTGTCCTCCCCCCCATCCCCCCCCCCGTTATCCCCCTCATTCCCCCAGGGAGGGTGAGGCCCTCCATGGGGGTGTCCATAGTCTGTCATTTCATATAGGGCAGGGCCTAGACCCTTCCCCAAGAGTTCAGGGTGAGAGTGCATCTCATATTGTTCTATGGGAGTCCAGAGTCCGTGTGTATACTTGGGATGGGTACTGATCTGCTGTCCAAGGCTCAATAGATTCCCTAGGCCTCCTCACTGACACCCAGATTCAGGGGGTCTTGATCAGTCCCATGCTGGATTCCCAGGCTGATGCCTGGGATTCAAGAGTTAACCTTTGTCTGGTCAGCTGTTTCTGGGGGTTAAACCAGCCCAGTCTTAATCCCTTTGATCATCAGTCCTCCCTCTCTGATACTGGCTTTCTTGAGTTCAGCTCAGTACTTAACCAGCCACTAAATGAAGTTTCTGTTTCCCAGACTCTCTGGCCATAGGATTGTAGGCTCTGCAGAGTTATTTTGATGGCACTTATTTAACAGAGAATAATATTTGACAATTGCTTTTTTTAAAGTCTATTTTTTTGTTTGTTTGTTTTTTTTAAGGCAGGGTTTCTTTGTGTTTTTGGAGGCTGTCCTAACAGCTCTTGTAGACCAGGCTGGTCTCAAACTCACAGAAATCTGCCTGCCTCCTGAGTGCTGGGATTAAAGGCATGTGCCACCACTGCCCAGCTTAAATCTATTTTTTATTTTAAAAGTCTTTTCTCATTTTACATACCAATCCCAGTTCCTACTCCCTCTCCTCCTGCTCTCCCCACTTTCCCCTGCCTCCCCCCCCCCATCTACTCCTCAGAGAGGATAAGTCTCCCCATGGGAAGTCAGTGAAGTCTGGCATATCACTTTGAATCAGAACCAAGGCCCTCCACCTTATATCTAGGCTAAGCAGGGTAACCCTCCAAAGAGAACCGGTTCCAAAAAGCCAATTTAAGCACTAGGGCTAAATCCCCGTCTCACTGCCAGTGGCCCCATGGACTGCCTAAGCTGCACAAGTTTGACAATTGATTTTTAATATCATTGTAATTGAACAATTATAAAAATATACTGAACTATTTTCATGTTACAGAGTATTTACACTGTTTGGATTTGGCTTGGCTGTGTTGTCTTACAGAAAGAGTAAGGGAATGTTTTAATGTTTGTGTGTCTAGCCAAACCTTTGTTATCAGAGCCGTAAGTGAGTAAATTTAGCTTGCTGAACTTAATTGCCAAGCTTTGTCATTTTAAAAAAACCTTGTGATATTTTTGTGTACTTATGTACTATATAGTAGATCTCATTTAATTTACTGTGAATGAATTGAGTTCAGCTGCCTCATGTATAGCTTCGCTGTCATATATAGAGAGAGTCTGAATGAATTATCACTATTCCTACGGGAAGTTAATGTTTTAATGCTAGCTAGCTTCCTCTCACCTAGTTGCTGAACTTCAATGGTGCCTTTGCTGTTTCTTCATGCTCTGCAGAGCACTGAAAGTCCAGCTTTCCAGTGCACATTTTTACTCACTGTGTGTGGAGGCCCAGTGTCTTGTGTTGTGTGTTGCGTCTTGTCCTCAGTGCAGCAGTGCTGGTTTTCGGTTTCCTCTCTGGGTCACTCCCCGTCCCTCACAGGCAGCTTCTGTCCAGTGCTAGTTCTGTTTGCTCTTCTTTGCATGCTCCACCGTGTCATTGTTCTCCATGTCTCTTGTCAGCTCACATGCTGTCCACCAGTGCTGTTGTCTCCTGTAATGCTCAGTGGAGATGCTAAGCTGAACACACTAGACTCTGTAAGCTAGCCTTTCTTTTTGTCAGCAACAGGACTCCTTCCTGTTTGTGGGTCTGCTTTTTGCACTCTTCAGTTCACTTGCCCATGTTCTTCTTTTTGTTTAGTGTCAAAAAATTCATTTCCTTTAAAATTAGTGTTGTATTTTAAAAATAATCTTAGCTTAAACTGAATCAACCAAGTTCGGCTTTAACTTTTTGGAAAAGGGATGCAAAATTGGTCATTTTTAATGGCTGTTTTAGGTTATTGGGGGCAGAATGAAATTATGAAATTGTACAGGAATTCAGTTCAGCATCAGGAAAAGCTTACCTGCATGAAGAGAGCTATTCCAGCTGACACTGACTTGGGAGGAAACTAATTAGAAGAATAGTTATTTAAATGGATTGAGTATTAAGAGTTATGGTTACTGATTTGGTAGGAATTACTGGGGATTATTAACTGGAACAAGGCAATTCATAAAATAAATCCCCCATGTGGTGGGTGTGTGCCTTCTCTCTGTTTCTTGTGTGTTTTACCATGGTGCTTCTCCATTTTTCACTAACAGGGGACTGCTGGACAGCGAAGGGATGGGCCGCTGGTGCTTATAGGCAGTGGGCTTTCTTCCCAACAGCAGAAAATGCTCAGCAAGCTTGAGACAGTTCTCAAGGTTAAAAGATGTGCTGAGTTTGACAGTACAGGTGAGTCATTGGATTTCTCTCACTCTCTGTCTTTGGTAGAAAATAATTTTAAGTTAGTCTCTTTAAAGACCAGCCTTTGATAATTTGTGTAAGTTTTAAGCATTGGGTTATGGTTAGATATTTTTCATCTTGTAATCTAGAGTCTTTCTATACTTTATAGTTTTAATGTACTTAAGAGGTATGAAATGTTTATTTTGCTTGTTTGGGGTCCTGGGGATAAAACCCAGGCTGTTCACATGCTGGTAGGCAAGTGCAGTACCACACAACTGCATCCTTAACAGGAACTGTAAAGTTTCCCCTTATACATATTTTAGGATGGAACACTGCTAAAGCACAGATTTGAGTTTGTTAATAAAGTATAACACAGTGTGATACCACAAATCATTTGAAAATAGCTGGAAAATTTGTGTTTGTTAATATGCTTTTATGATCTATTTTGCATGGTGATGGCCAAGCTAAAAGGTACTGAATAAAAGAAACATTATACTCAATATAAAGTTGCCTTTGATAAAAACTTAAATGTAAAGTTAATAAAATAGACTTTACTGGTTATAAAAAATAGGGAATTATTTCGGGGTTTTCCTTACTACTTTTTTGTATCTTAGTAACTCATGTCATTGTTCCTGATGATGAAGCTCAAAGTACTCTGAAGTGTATGCTTGGGATTCTTAATGGGTGCTGGATCCTGAAGTTTGACTGTAAGTACTGATTTGGGAAGATTACTAGACCAGTTAGTGTATGCCTGTCCCCTGAGACAGTCACTGTTTTGAAAATGATTCAGGTATCGTTGGTGCCATGCAGATATTTTTAATAAATGTGTTTAAATATACTTTGATTTTTAAGGTAGTCTTATTTTGCAATATCAAGTATATTATTAAAGAATTAATGTAGTTTGTTGTTAACTTTGAAGTCTGAACAGTCCACATTAATGTTAAATGACGTATTTGCCAAAATATGTTCATGTTTTAAATCCATTGCGTGGTGTAACTATGAAGTGAAATTAATTTATTGCTTTCCATTTAAAATTTCTGCAGTTTTACCATAATAACATGCTTTTAATCTCGTGGCTAACTCAGTCCTTTTGGGCAAATGTTGGGGAATTTACCATTTCGTTCTACCTGATCCTATTATAGCAGCCATTTCCTCGGCTTCCATTGAAACTATATTTCCATTTCTCTCTTTTTGGCAGTTAGATTGTGGCTACCTCCTACCTTCCCTAATGTTGCTATATACTTCTCTTAAAACACGCCGCCCCCCTCCTCCCTCCAAACCCTTTCCCTTCTTCCTAGCTATTTTCTACTCCTTGGTACCTGAAGTGTCTGCCTTTTGGTACTATAGGCTAAACTATGATGACAGATGCACAAGTTGTTACTAAGTGTTTCCTTAGAAAGTTAAGTGGCTGCAGAGGATTGACCAGGGAGGTTTTAGGATATGTAGTTGAGAAGCTTGATGTCTGGTATGCTCAAGAATGATTGAGGGCCAAAATTTAACCTGTGCACATGGAGTTGCTATGTATTGTAATTTGTTAATCTTGTAGAGCTGCAGTTTCCTGAAATGATAACTATACCAAATCTGAAAAATAAGTATATTGGTTTTAAGAAGCACATTGCATATTAAAATTCATTAAAAATATTAGCTTTGTGCTTTGAAGGCCTTATGGTAGCATGATTATCTAGATCTTACCTTTGAAGTTGATTTGCTTTGAAGAGCAGTTCAATGTCAGCCGTTCGTATTCATGTCCTCTTAAAATTGGCTTCCACTTATTCCCTATGGTACTAGTCAGGTCTCATGGGTGTGATTAGCTATGAGGGGACACCACGCCATCTTTTCTCCTCATTCTCCATTGATAGTTGCTTCCAGTCAAAACCAGTTTGAGAAGCATGATAATTGATTGGCATATCATTAGCAATGTCTGTGCTTGAACTTTATTTTACCTTTCCTGTCTGTAAAAAACCTCTTTGAGTCTCAGTATTTAAAAACTTCAAATGCCTCCAAGGTTATGGCTTCTTCTGTACTATGCCTGGGTCAGAACCATTGCCAATGGTTAGAATGATTCGATTTTCATATTAATAAAGAAACCATGTGGACTTTGAATAATCTGATGCTTCTGAACTTTGAGTCTATTTCTTAAGAATTTGCTGAACTGGCATTTGGTTACATGTACAGGCTATGATCCATTTCCATAAAACCTACCTTCTGTCGGAAATGTGAGTTTTGTCACTTAATGGCTTGGCCATGTCAGTTTTATAGAATCACTGATGGACTCAAGCTGACTTAATAGTGTGGTATTTGGTGATTCTCTCAGTAGTGAGAATCCTCTAGTGCTGATGGTGGTTTTGGGATAAAGGATGGATAGGATTTCTTATTGAAGTTCACATGTTCATATTTTCTAATGTAGAGCCCAAAGATAAATAAGTTCAAAGTTTGAGACAAGTATTTAATTAGTCACCTACCTGGTCACTGGGCTTATAAAAATAAGTCATATACTCTTAAGGTCTTTCTTTCCTAACATAGATTCTTCAGTCTGTTTTTCAGTGTCAGGCACCTCGATTTTTTTTTGGAAAATTTGGATTTAGAACTATCTGAAAATCATATACATTAAAGAAAAATGAAGGGATTTCTGCTTTCAAAATTAACTATAAATTAATGATAAAGATGCATGACTTACTAAAACTTTCTTGGGTGGGATTTGTTGGTAGATAAAATTATTAATTGGAATGATTTCTTATAAATTTAATATTAACTTTTTATGATGCTTCCCATAAACCAAATGAAGAAGAATTTTCGTCGGCTGTGTACATGTCCTTGTGTTAGAGGTTGATAGCTTCCACCTTTCCTTTTGAGACATAGTCCTGGAGTTTCAGTGAACCAGGCACTCAGAGATTAACTGAACAGGCTTACCGCCATCTAGAGATCTGCCTGCCTCTCAAACTCTTTCCTACTTCACTGTGCTAGAGTTATTCCAGACTAGTGGTTCTCAACCTTCCTAATGCCCTTAATACAGTTACTTCCTCATGTTATGGTGACCCCAACCGTGAAATTATTTTTGTTGCTCCTTCATAACTCTGATTTTGCTACTGTTATGAGATGTAAATATCTGATATACAGGATGGTCTTAAGTGACTCCTGTGAGTCTTTTAACACCCCAAAGGGGTCATGACCCACAGGTTGAGAACCACTAGACTTCGTCTGTGAACTGAATAAGGAAGAGCAGGGAGGACAACTCTTGGTGTTGCTTTCTGATTGGTTGGGGGTTCTGATAATTTGCCTGAATTAGGTAATACAAGTGGAATAAAAATGCATCTGCATTACAGTAGCAAGAAGTGGAGAAGGACCCGGGTAGGGGTAAAACAGTTGTGATTTTTCTCATGACAACTGTTGGGAGGTAAGTGCACAAGAAAAATGCATGGTGGGGCCTAAAGCAGAGAATTGTTTTCCTGTTTTGAAATGGGCTTCCAGTATAATCCAGGCTGGCTTCAAACCTTGATCTTTCTTGCCTGAGCCTTGAGTATGAATGCTGGGATTACAGTCAGGGTGCCCATATTCTAATTCATTTTTAATGGTTTTAAAAAGAAAACTTGTCTACTGTATTAAATCTACTTCTTATAGCAATGAATTCAAGCCTTCATGTTCTAATATCAATTAGAAAACGGTTTTAGACTGCTCAGGACTTTAATCTTAAAAAGAGAAATTAGTACCTGTATTTGTAGTTATTTCCCACCTACCATAATAGATTTTTAAATTTGTTTTGCAAGTTAAATATTTGACTGTAAGATGCTGAACTTAAGTTTTCTAGTTCTTAGAAGAATCTTTGGACATTAGACAATTTGTTCTTTAAACAGGTAGTTTTGATGTTATTCAGTGTACAGGTGTCGGTACTGAGACGCAAGTTTTCTTTAAAAAATTTTTATGATATGCTAATATATTTTGTGATAGGATTGGTTTGTTTTTTTATATGTGTTAAGGAAAATAAATTCAGCATTTTGTTTCAAGAAGTATATATTTGTGAATAAATATACTTATAAGTAGAATATTAACTTGAAGTATAGGAAGAAAGTGAATGATAGTATTTATGAGACAATCTACTGTCCTATGACAGTATTTTCAGTGATATTCCAAAGGGGATGTTTACGATAACACATGTACTGTTTAGGTTTTTTGTCACTTGACACAGCTAATGTCATCTGGGAAAGGGGAATCTCAGTTGAGAAAATGCCTTCATTGAATTAGTCTTTGGGCAAGTCAACGGGACATTTCTTCATTAATGATTATAGTAGAAGAGCCCAGCTCACTGTCGGTGGTGTCCCTTGGGTAGATGGACCTGGTGGCTGAGTAAGTCAGGGAGAAAGCCAGAGAGCTGCATTCCTCCATTGTTCTGCTTCAGTTCCTGCCCCCAGATACTGGTAGTGTCATGGCATGTGTTCCCCACCCTCACCCCTGCCCTGAAGTGCAGGCCCTGACTTCCCGAGTGATCAGGACATGTAAGCCAAATAAACCTTTTCCTTTCTGTGTTGCCTTTGGATCATGGCAGGGGAGAAACTCACCTAGGATAACATGACTGGAACATTGAGGATTCCTTTTACACGTTCAGCCTTCATTTCATCATCGCTTCACTCATTTCACACAGTGAGCTCATTTCTTTGATACTTAACTGCCACCTGACCCTTGAGAGATTGTGGTCACAGTGGACTTTTTTATTCTCCATTTTGTCTTTGTGTAGAAACTGAGTTTTTTTTTTAAGTGTAGCACAACCATAGTCTATTTGACTAAAACTTTTAATATACTCATTTGCAATGAAAGATTCCTTTGGTTTTACAGCCTGAGTGTTGATTTTTAACTGAATCAGACAGGAGCTCCATGGATGTGTTTTTATTGTCATTCTGAGTGACATAAATTCCTAGTTTAGTTCTAATGCCATATCTATTCAGACTCTTGATTTTGACATGGAGTGATGTTTATGTATTCTAACTTTCTTAAAGGAAATTTGTTGACCGAGAATGATATTTAATTCCATGCTTTCAGTTAGGAAGAGCCAGAAGCCCCAGAACAATTGCAGTTTGTAAAAACCAATGACTCTGTATTCCTCTAACTTTTGGAAAAGTAAAGACACTGTTTTGCTTCCCATGAAAGATAGGGCTTATCTTCCTGTGGACACTATTGATCTATATCTTTAAGCCCTATTCGTGTTTGTGTATTATTTCATAATTTTGTGTAGCTGTGGTTCTGTGATAGTTTGAATGTTAATTGACCCCCATATTCTCATAGGGAGTGGCACTATTAGGCAGTGTAGCTTTGTTGGAGTAGCTATGGCCTTGTTGGAGGAAGTGTGTCACTGTGGAGGTGGGCTTTGAGGCTTCCTATGCTCAGAATACTGCCCAGTGTCTCAGTCAACTTCCTGTGGCCTGCATAGAAGATATAGCCAGTACACGTCTGCCTGCACAATGCCGTGCTCCCTGTCATGGTGATAATGGTGATAATGGTGATAATGGTGATAATCTCTGAAAGTATGAGTGAGCCACCACAGTTAAACTTTTCTTTTTCTTTTCTTTTTTTCTTTTTTTGTAAGAGTTGCTGTGGTCCTGGTATCTCTAAAACACCCGGACAAAGACAGAGTCAGTGGCACTCCTTTTAACTCTGTTTCCTTTGTTGATCCCTTTCTCACAAGCTTCAGAAAAATTCCTGAGCTCAATATAAATTG